ATTCGAGATGTTTTTGGTAATTAAAACTTAAAAGTTCAAATGTCATGGTATTTTTTTGTTAATTTGTAAACACTGTTTTAAACCTAAATTATTAATAATTGGGATATATTACAATTTATCATGGTCATTTACTTATTTACATTATTTTATCCATCTGTACGGCATTAATTGGTTCAGGCGGACAAGGCATCTCTATTAGGAGAGGCGGTCCGGCGAGTGAGGGAGCTGAAGAAAACTGCAGCGGCACTGGCGAGCTCGCCGGAAACCACCGAAAATCCGACAACCACCAGCGCCGGCGCAACACTAAATAAGGTGATGTTCCCAAGCGAGACGGACGAGCTGAAGCTGAACCGGTGCGAAGGGTCGGGGCTGATAAGGGCGAGCCTTTCGTGCGAAGACCGGCCGGAAATGATAGCAGACATGATAGAGGCCCTGAAGGGGGCGGAGGCGAGGGCGGTGCGGGCGGAGATGTCGACGGTGGGTGGGCGGAGCAAGAGCGTGGTGTGGGTGGAGATGGCGGGGGAGGCTGACGTGGCGGTGGGGACGCTGCGGAGGGCGTTGAGAGGGGTTATTGACAAGTCTAATCCCTTGGCGGCTTCCGGCCAGGGCTTGCCGAGGAACAAACGCCCACGTTACTATCACTTCTGAATTTTAATTTTTTTTTTTTGTTATCTGTTTTGTATGTTCTTGGCTTGTATTTTTTAGTATTTTTTATTTTTCTTCTTTTTGGGTATGAAATGGTGGGGCCCGCGCGCTGATGATGTGTGTTGTTAGGAGGACATGTAATTATCATGAGCTTTCGAGGCGTGGGATGTGACGAGAGACATGGATCGCTATCACTGGTTTTTTTATTTTGTGTTTGGGGGTAGATTGGTATTTTGACTGTGCTTTGCCTGGTTGGTAAGGTAAAAAACACGTCTAATGGCATTGCAAAAATTTGAACTCTTTTTTCGTCTTTATTTTGACTTGTAAAATATTATTCGCGTTTGAATAAGGTCTACTTTTTTAAATGATTGAAATGTGTTTAAATTTAAAATTCTTTGGTTAATTGAAAAGTAGAAATATATTCGTCGATATTCAACTGCTATTGAATTAGTTTTATCATATTTGTATATACATGTATTTTGAGAGAGAAAGTTTCAACAAAAATAAAAAATAAAAAATGTAATAGTAAAAGAATTTCCAATTTTTATTGTTGAAAGAAGTTGTAATAATCAATGTTGACGAAAGATGTCTGTTGTCAATAGGACCACTGATGTACAATTTAGAGTATGATTCAATGTTCAACGTTAATTTGACGAGAAAATAAGGAGATAGAGAAAATAAATAGAGCTTTTGATTGTCGACGAATTAGGTGTATGTAAACCAGTGATCGCCCTCTTTTTTACAAGGGCCTATTGAAGGCTATGAAAACAAGGAAAACAACAATAAACTATTATATTGGAGAACTAGGGAAGGATTGCTATATCAAAACTTGGAGTAGAGTGTTCGTCTAATATGTCTGGGACGCGTGGCAGCTTTTGAGAGACTAGTGACATCAATGGCGATACGTATCCAAGCAATTTGCTCTATTTAAGTAAATGTCTTATTTCTTTGAGCGGTGGGAATCAATTTTGGGCGACAACCGCTTTCACATTAGTGTTGGGTTGAGAACGGCAAGGAGGAGGCCGTTACTTTTGGCAAATGTCGACGTGATTACTTCGTGGCTTGGAATGAGATTGACATGTAGCAAAGAGATGTCTTAAGGTAAATGTCCTTTGTGTTGGCCGAAGTGCTTCATGGTATGTGGGCTTCGGGGATATCATCCATGTCGTGAATTGATTTGGTGTGATCAATTCAGGGCGATAAATTTTGAGTATTAACAGAAGACCCCCAAGTTCTTATGATCAGGCAAGATACTTTGGCTAGTCACATGAAGTTATTTGGATTCTTTCTTGTCAGTTAGGGGATGAAAAAATGCAAGTGGATTAAAAATCGGCTTGGGCGTTGTAAGCGGGTTCTTGAAAAGTCAACTCATGATTAATAGGATACGGTTCTGTATTTTGGAAAGGTTCCATCTTTTGAAATTCTGAATGAGGTAATGGCCATTTTTCTTTTTTCTTTTTTTGGATAAGAGGTTTTGTCCAAATTTCTATGAATTTGTTTTGTCATGAGGGGGTAAGATTCAAATTGTTTATTCAATTCGTGCAAATAAATATAATTACATTTAGTTTTTACTAAATAACTTTTGTACTTATATTTTATGAATTTTTATTATAAGGAGGCTGTACCATTGGAATTAGACGTGCTACACACATGAATAAAGGGATAGACAAAGTCAAAGAAGGGCATATCTATGGAATTCTAAAATACCTAGTAGAGAGTAGCTATGGCTCATTTTGGCTCACCACTACCATGTTTAAAATTGTGATCCACAGAATGTTGGTGACGTTCAAAGTCGACTTCTCCATTTTTCGGTTTGATTTGCGAAGTTTTGTTACTCTATGTTATGTTGTACGTCAAGATCAAATTGTATTATTTGGTAATATTTTGATTTATTTTTTATCTTATGATGTATCATTTTATTTCAAAAATTATAATAAGTTCACAATTTATTTGTAGATGTAATTGGTCCGATGGTTGAAATTGGATTCGTCCAAATGAAAGAGGTTGATGGGTTCCAACACAAACGATTGTGTTTACTCTCATGGACCTAGAGTAAACACTTCTTTTATTCCACTGTAGTATACTTTTGTGTAAAAATCATATTAATCATTTATTTAAAAAATTATTTAGGAGGAACAAGATTGATTGCACACTTTTAGGGATTACGTTGATTGACTTTTAGAAATTAAAAGTCTGGAAATGAGCGTAAATCACCGGTGTTGATTCTTCATCTTTGACGAACTAAGACTCCATGTTTGTTTTTATTAATATATCAAATAATAGATATATTCTCACTAATCAAAAGAACTTAAAATATTAATTTTAAAGGGATGATAGTTTGCCTATAAGGGAAAGAAAAAATATTTTAATGTTCTTATTATTTTATTTAATAAATTATTTTTTATTCACGTCAATATAAGAAGGATTTAGTAAACAACTTTATAACTATCTGCACCGTGCATCGCACCGAATGTCCGTTAGTTTGTTTGATGGTAATTCAATATATATTCTGATTAAATAAACTTTAGTATAAAGAAACAAAACAAGATTATAACCGCCCTTAAGTAAGCATGCTTATTAAAATTTTGACAATTTTGTGGGCAGATTTCATCAGGGACGGATCTAGAAAAATAAATTAGGGGGGGCAAATTTTTTTATTTTTTTTTTTCATGATAGACATATAGTTAACAACAAATACATAAAGTTGTAATTTTGGATTTAAAAAAAAAGTTGTAATAAAAAAAAAAATACATACCTTTTGTACTACAGACTTTCAAATTTAAAGGATGGCCAAAAGGCCCAAAACACTTCTCAATACCGGAGTTCCATATTTCACTATTTGAATCACTGTATACATACATGGGAGGACTCCATAAAAAAATTAACTAAAAATCAAATTTATACAAACTACCCAAGTAACACAACAATCATTTAATTGTTTTTCAATACATATATAAATTATTTGAATTAGGCTAAAGCATAAGAGAAAACCTCATAGCAAGGTTGTATATTCTACTTGATGAAACCCTAAATGAATAAAAAATAAAAAAATAGATATATCATAAATAAGATATAACCAAAAGTACTTACAAATATAAGGAAAAAGATGAATACTCAAATCTCAATTGATATATTTCTGGTTTGCTCACTGCTCGTCGAGTCGCCCTATGTAAGTCGCAAGTTTCTCCCAAAATTCCAGACAACTTCATTTGCCTTTTAATTATTTGTTGAATGGGGTCAATTTACTTATTTGTTTAATAGAGTCAAGAATAATAAATTAAGTTAATGAAAAGAAGTGGAAGTGGAATTGTGGTGCATCTCCAAAACCAAAACGTTATTCTATTTACTTTAATTTATATTTTATTTTATTGTTTGAGGGGGACCAAATGTTTATATATGTATAATATTATATATTATATATCCATACTATTAAGAGATAAAAAAATGTTTGGGGGGGACCATGGCCCCCCCTATCTTAAGTGTAGGTCCCGTCCCTGGATTTCATCATATTATGGGCCCACAAAAGATGATATATACCACGATTGCTTTGACCTGAAGGTCACTAGCAAGCTATGATCATCGGATTCTACTAGCATCATCATGATCATCGGAATATATATATGTTTACAACATAATATGACATGTGTTATATCGTTATTAGAAGCAAAAATAAGATTAACCACAACAAATGCTAAAGTTGAAATATAATAGTATGTTAAAATGGAATTGACTTTTTGATTAGTATATATGGTCAGGTCAGGAGTAAACCAACTACTAACACGGGCCCACGAAGTTCTTTATAAATAAAAATGTTTTATATAAAAGGTTGGATTCAAAGTCAGTGCTTATCCTAATACAATCTATTACGAAAAAAGAAAACATAAAACCAAATTGACTTCTGGATTATTAGTATATATGGTCAGGTCAGAAGTAAACCAATACCACGGGCCCATGAAGTTCTTTATTATAAAATAAAATTGCTTAATTTCCATTTATATTTACACTTGTGCAACGTTTTTCTTAAATATGAATTTAAAAAAAAAAAAATTACATAAAGAATACATTTTTATGTAAATTTCCAAACTTTTTCTACTTTAAATTTATGTTTAATTTATTTGTAGTTTAGTATGATAAATACATTTCCTTGAGGTCGCATATGTAAATCTATGGAAAATGTGGATATTGCGAGACGGCCTTTCCGTTGTATTCGAGGCGATGGAGATGAAACTTAATGGGAGTGTGGTGATCTGCCTAGGTCGAGGAAGGAAGGCCCCACACAACGGAAGTCCGACTTATATTGTCGATTTCACAGGGACTACGGCCATACCACGGATAATCGCCAACATTTGAAGGATGAGATCGAGAGGTTGATCCGGGCAGGACACCTCAAAGAGTTCATCTGCAAGGATAGAGAAAGAAGAGATAGAAAGCGTGATGGTGATGGTCAGTGTGATCGAGAGGTCGAGGAAGATGAGCCCCCCCCCCCCAAGAGGGGAGTTATTCATTTGATTTCTGGGGGATCAACGTATGAGAACTCCAACAATTCTAGAAAACAACATGTTCGAGCGGCTAAACGCAAGAGGGAGGAGGTTAACGTCGCGGCTCAAGCAATTGTGATCAGTTTTGAGTCGGAGGAAGTTAAAGGTCTACATGTGCCACATAGTGATGCTCTGGTGATCTCGGCGGAGGTAGCTGGTTATGAGGTGCAAAGAATATTTATCGACACGGGGATCTCCTATCAAAAAGTTTATACTCGTATTTATGAATCTTAATTTGAGTTGATAGATAGTTTATACTCATATTTAAAAGTTCTTAATTTGACTTGATTTGTAAATAGTTTATACTCGTATCTATGAATCTTGATTCGAATTAATAGATAGTTTATACTCATATCAAGGAGTTCTTCACTATAGACCATTCATTCTTGTGTAAAGGAGTTTCAATTTGTTTTGACTTGAAGACGATTTATACTCGTGTCAAGGAGCCTTCAAAATTATAGACATTTTATGTTAATGTCAAGGAGTCTTCAGATTTTTAGGTATTTTATGATCATGTCAAGAAGCCTTGATATTGTTAAATATTTTATGCTTGTGTGAAAGATTTTTCTAGATAGTTCAGTCTTGTATTAATGAGCATTATAGATAATTTATGCTCGTATCATTGAACATATGAATTTATAGATAGTTTATACTCCTATCAAGGTAAACGATTTATTATAGGCTTGTAAACGAGTCGAGCCGAGCTCGAGTATCCTAAGCTCGAGCTTTTAATGTGCCGAGCCGAGCTCGGTGCATTAAAAAAACGAGCCAGAAATCGAGCTCGAGCTCGGCTCGTTAAGGTCTCGACATCGAACCTTAACGAGCCGATCTCGAGCTTTTACAAGTTGAACTATAAAAAATTATATAAAAATTGATCTTTTCAAGCATTATCGAACCGAGCCCGAGTCGTTAACCAAACGAGCTTTAAATGAGTTCGAGCTCAAATCGTTAAAGCCTCGAAGTCAAACTGAATTCGAGCCTTAACAAGCCGAGTCAAGCTCGTTGAATTTAACAACACCAATTTATTGGAAGTTCTTCATATAAATTGCCTCATGGAATTAATTTGGAATTAGGGATAATGAGCAAGGTTGATTCAGTTGGCCTCTATTTGGATGAATATTGTGAAATCGGCGACCTTTTGTGGTTCTTCGGCTTGTTGAGACGTCATCTTCTGTTTGTACCGTTGTACATATTTTCAAAGAGCGAGATCGCTATGCATCTTTTATAGTATTTGAATTTAATTTAAAGAGAATAGATGAGAGGTAGAGATTGTCCTTGGAGCCTCGCCAAATTTGTTAAGATAAATTAAAATGCGGGGTTTAAATAATTTGTCATGAATCTAAGGCCAGCGTCACATTTATTCATTACTTGGACAGTTATCCATAGCCATATCAATTTCAGACCATAGAGCGCAATTTAGAATTGCGTTACATAACTAATTAATTCTTGGCTTGTGTTAATCTGCTGGCCTCATTTTGTTTATTATTGTAGGCTTTGGCTTCTGCAATAGTTCCGCAGCAGGTGCACCCGAAATATCCCCCACCCTTATGGCTGTATCCATGAGACTCGCTGCAGCAGCCGAATTTACAAATTTGCCCTCCACCATACACTCCACCGTGGCTGAACCCTCCCGAGTATCCGCCTGCCCCTCCACCGCCCTCAGCCCCACCCTCTGCTCCACCTCCCTCAGCTCCACCACCGCCAGGCCCACCACCGCCAGGTCCACCGCCGCCAGTCCCACC